GGTTCATAAGGTTTGTTTTTGATGATTTTACGTACAGTTGAGAAAGGAATTTAGGTCAAATCTGATGATGCTTGTAATAGTTGGTTTCCCTCGAAACCCAACTTGAGATGAAGATTCTTATATACATTGAAACATACTCTCTATGTTTCAATATTCAAATGCATCTGAATCTTATTCACTGGTATCTCTTTCGCATTGTTCACCATCGCTATTGGAATCACTACACTGGAAAAAGTCTGCGTTATTATCATCTCATTATTACTATTAGTACATTGTCCAAGGACGCCAAATTTTAAACAGATAACAAAAATTTTACGTAATTATACCTGCACCAATATCGAATTCGAACACTCAAATGGCAATCAGTTCCTGAACTGAACACGACGGCTATAACCATCCCCGCATTTCAAATTTAATTTTATGACTCTTCAGCCAATCATGAAACTCGGTTAGTAAAAATTATTCAATACGAACCACCAAGTCTACAGTCCATGTGGACTAGTTCGCAGCCGGTTTATTTCTATGTATTGGTTTTTTTTGCCTTTGAGAGGCCGCCGACCTTTAAATGTGCACAATATTGTTTACTTCGACTATACATACATTTTGTATTTACGTACTTATTTTATTTTATTGCCAATAAAGTTGTCTAAATACTTTCGAACAACTTTGAATTTTATTTACAATGATTTCAAAAAGTATAATTACTTTTTTCAATTTCTAGCTTTTCAGTATTGGATTACTCACATCTCACTTGTACGTTTCGAAAATATAAATAAAATTGTGAGAGTAAGTGAACATTGCTTTGGAAATTTACGCCTAAAATTCAATTAGGCAAATTAAATATGAACATTACATTTCATGTTTAAAATGTAATGAAAAACTGCAGTGGAAAGTTACATAGGTATCTAATTATGTGATATCGTATATCGTGGAATATCATGTCTTTGATATATTGATCTGTAATAATTTAGGTATACATAATATAATATGTAACACTAATATGTGATTCAACACAATTCGAAATATTTACAAATCGTTATGCGAATTTACTTTACTTCACGTTGGTCACAAATTGCTAACGTTTAGTTATGTAACTTCACAAAAATATTGTTTCCGTATACCTATATTGATTTGTTGATGCTACAACAATTGTATTTTTCCATTCAGCCCCTTTATAGCAGCTACTAGAAGACGTTTCATATTAGAAATAGATTTTGATGGCACAAATCCAGGCCTAAGTTTTTCCTGAGAAGTGATATTACCAGACGACATGTCAGGGTATACGATTCCGCTATCTAAGTCGATTAATTTATTGTGTTGAAGCCGATACACATAATATGTTAATGATATATCAAAGACAGCTTTTTTTGAAATTTAAAGTATTTCGAACTAGAAAGCATATCCTACAATTCTATCAAAAAATGGAGATCATTCGTCTGATTGGAAACATGGAAACCCAAACGACACAAGCAACTTTGATTGCCTAAAACATTGAAGGTAGGGACGGGAAATGTGCGACTGACTCAATCCTCTTGATTCTACTGAGAATAATGCATGTCATAAGCATGCATGGGTATGCAATGGAAAGCCCTTTTCAATAAGATATTACTCGACCCTCATACCGAATTAAAAAATTGAAGGACTCCACATGCCGCTCAGTAGATACAAGGTTTTTGCAATGGTGTTTGGGTCTAGACATAGTGTTCCATTTGTAAAAGTGGAAAAAACGAATGTGCACCACTGTAGGTCACTGTATTTCACGCTTATCATATCTCCACAAAAAGGCAAATCTATTCAAGCAGATCGTAACCTCTCTAGCTTTCTCCATTCCATGAACACGCCCCATTGAGTATCAAGTGCAATCATTTTTACGGGTCGTCCAACACATATCACTAGAAATAAATTACCTTTCTTTGAGATACTGAAGATTGTTCTCTTCGTTCTTCGATAATAGCTTCATTTTGAATTATGTTTCGGTGAAGGTATTCATATGTATGTTGAATTACTACACTTTTATATTGAACTGATAACTTTCTACTTCTTGCATAACCCCTTACTGTCCTGGGAACAGCCTCCATTTTGTGTACCGCGAGTATTCTACTAAAACCACGTCTTAGTTGAACTTTTTGACAATCTCACCTTTGAGTGATGATACAATTTTTTACAAAACCAACATTAACAACTGATTTGAATCATGTTTAATACGGTAAAATGGTTGTATATTATTTTGTTGTTCGAAGGTGTGTCGTCAAATTATTGATAATGTAAACTAGTACCTTCTGACTGATCAAAAATCATCGAGATTCTTTATGATTCTCCATACAGGCAAGAATACTAAGTAATTGCCAGGTATAAGAATAAATAATAGTTTTGCACTGAGATAGGTGTTGGACGATAAACAATTTACCGAACTCTAACTATTCTGCTAAAATTATAGGTTGTAAGAACACTTAATGAAATGCGTCAATTATTTTTGAGATTTCTCCAAAACATAACAACGAAGACCACACAAAGGCTAAATATAGTTTGCGTCTGAAGTGAATTTAAGATGGAATAGCTCAATTATTGATTTACTGTAAAAGTTGATTTCTTCAATAAAAAATGAGAAAAATAATATTTTACCGTTTAGTTTCTAATTTTCACTTTTACAGTACATATTCAGCGGTGTAGTGAAATAAAAGCTTAAAATTGGGTTAAAATTGGCTTAAAATTAGAAAATACATATTCAATAAAAAATGAGAAAAATATAATCTTTTACCGTTTAGTTTCAAATTTTCACTTTTACAGTACATATTCAGCGGTGTAGTGAAATAAAAGCTTAAAATTGGGTTAAAATTGGCTTAAAATTAAAAAATACCTACATATGTTGACGAAATAAGTACATATGAAAGTAATGGATTTTTTCGAAAAGAGAGGAGAATATCTAGACAGTTTTGAAATAATATCTTGATATCAGTGTGCTTCGGCATAATTCTTCACTACAGAAAAGTACATTTAACGGGTTTCAGATCATCTCCTATTGACACCCACTTGGTTGGTAAATTACGCATCGAGAAAAGCGTCACAGTTCTACTGTGTGAGAAAAGTATTTTGTTGGATACGAATGGAGTTAAACCAAAATAAATTAAAGGAATAAAATAACGAAATACAGTATAACTTGTTTCTTGTTCAGAATAATGAACATAATCAAAAAATGAAAAAAACTGTAAAATGGAATGTACCAATAAAGATGTTAAAATAAATAGGATGTAAACATTTCATACCAATAAAATAAAATTACTACTATATGCCATCACAACCAGGTAAGCTAATCAATATGTATGATGTAGTAGGTACCTATATACAGGTAGAACTTCGAGAAGAACCCTCAAATAGTTAAAATATATGATTACTTTGAAACATTGATGAAATAACAAATAGATCCAACAAAAGGGTCCAACCTAGAGATCAAAAGAATTGAAAAATAAAAGAAATTACGCGAAATGATTCAGAAAGAATGAAAATACTTAATAAAAAAAATTCAAGTGATCGACAGGAAGTACAAAATTTGGTTCAAATAGACACCTTAAGATTGATGAAAACTAGCAAATGACAAGAAAATAGATGGCTTCAACTTAGTTCAAACAAAGCCCTTTGAATAATTTTGAAATCATGGTTGTGAAATCTTTTATCATGACTCTTAGATATACTTATTATGTTGTGTTCATATGAATGATATTTGATTCAACTCAGGAAGGGTCTTATCTTCCAGTTTGTATCTGGAAGCAAATTCTGCGCATAATCTACACATGAAAAAAAAACTTTTGAACTAAATTGCTTTCTTCCTGCCATCGAAATTTTACTTCATTTTTTGTATAAATATGGACGAGTAGAAAGTCAAACAGCTTTTTTNCCAAAATTTGGATGATTTTGAATATTCACTTGAAAAGTTATCAAAGAAAAACATTTTTCATTTTGTAACTTCGAGGGCCCGTAACTTGGTTACGAAGACTTTTAGGAAAAAAGTTATATGAAGTACTGGTGATATTTTGACCCCATCTATACATTCCCGAGAGGAAAAGAGGAAGTCCAGGGACACCCTGTATATATATATATACACATATATTTTCAAGTTATTCATATTTATTTCCTGAGCTATAGAAATCATAAGAAAATAATCATAAATCATAAGATTTGCAATGTGAAAGAAAATTGATTCTCAACACAGTTATCATTGGTTACTTTTTTTTGCTTCAACAGTCTTCAACATTCAGAAATAAAATAATTTTCAAGCTTCAAAATCCCACCTAACAATAACAATAACATACGTTGATTTAAATTTCACAGACAAACAAATTAAAAATAGACAATAGACGTTCTCGATCACAGTAAACTATAATTTGAAACTGAATAATAAAACATCTAAATTTTTTCAATTGAAACCAGGTTCTGCAATCTGTTCAAAATCAATGGTCCAATACTTATTTCAAATTATTAACCTAAACTAACTGTCGTTCTATTATTGTTTGTACACTCAGTATTGATCTGTGAAAGAAATTCCTACGAGAATTAAATATTTGAACCACAACTACTGACAAACTAATTTTTGATAATTCAATTAATAAGTACCTTCTATTTTCTGATCCAAGTATTAGGTACTTATAGTTACGCAGCACAAAAAAACTATACCTAGAAAATAACTATATACCTATTTATTTTTGAAATTTTGAATTACATCAAACTTTCCCGCTAGGAATGATGATCATTTCAAATTTAACTAGAAATAATGAAACTTTCAATAATGCTGTTTGGTAAAAATTCATGAATGGAAAATCAAATTCACCTAAATAATTCATTTCTCGTCCTTCAAAACATAAAATGTGGTAGTTTCAACTCTCCTGATTATTTAGGAACTTCAAATGACTTTTAATTCTTGCTTCTATCTGTACCTGAGAGTGTATTTTCCGTTTACTACTTCTACTCAAAATTTGTAATATACTATGAAACTGAGATCTACCCACCTGTTGTATGATGCACTAAGGAAAGTAGAATCGTCGTAAGGGCTATAATCCAAAAATAATAATCCTTGGTACTGTTAGTAATCCACATTTTAGTTTAACTTCCCACATGGGGCACAGAGAACACTTCCAATGCACTTATCACAGAAATACTTGTATCCACACACTATGTACAACACATTTTCGATTTGTTTATTCACTCAAATAGTTCAATTCATGTGAAAAAAAACACATTTTCTGTCGGATAATACTCGCACATACATACACGCTGCTTCGTGGTCGACTCGAATATGAGGGGGGCTTTGACAAAGACGCTCAAAGATGGCGGCTGTGAAGTGGTTATGTTCCTACGCGATAGCTCTCCAACTCTGTCAACCTATACGGTTGAAATTAGGGTTTGTTATATCATTCACCAAGAAAATACTACTATATAATCTACATGTGTTCATTCCAAGTTGAAAGAAATTTGCGATAAAACATCGAAATGTAGAGAAAGTCCGTGAGAAAATGTGTGGAACTACTTTTCGTTACTACTTGTCGGAATGCGTCCTCAACTGTCTACCGGTGTTGTGTCAACGGCCAATCAGATGTTTCTCCCCACTGTCAACATTTGAGATGGCATGCTGAGTAGACGAATATATTAGATATTATGTGGTATATTCTGCAACATATCTACATTTGCCAGTATGTTTTTATTTGGAAGCAGTTGGAAGTGTATTTGTTTAATAAATTAAAAATGCTCTCCCTTTTATTTCCAATATATGCTTCGAAATTGCCATTTCAAGGAAAGAGTGGAAATGTTAATGACTGATCGAACAAGAAACCCTCAATTTCCGTGAAAATTCAGCGCTGGTGGGGGATGTGAATGCTACCTATATAAAGACTTTGAATGAAGCAACCATTAGTTATTTATTAGTAAAACTGCGTTGTTATTTTAGACGGTCGTATGAATTGAAAAAAACAATCATCTTAAATATGGTTCAAGTGGTTTACGTATTGTTTGTACCATTTTGCATCTTCATACTGAAAATCACAGTTATATATGACCAAGATATTTGCATGTAGGTATAATCTATCCAAGTCGCCTATTACTTTGTAAAAAACCATAAGGTAGATATATTTTTATAGAAATAGGTCTCATAACGTTTTTTAATTTATTAACTTCCACTTGATATGACATTTATAGCTAAAATGAGAACAATAAATTACATGGATTGATAGAAAATTGATAAATATTGATGTGCACATTTGTTCAACTGTTGATGCCTAGTGGCGCACGTTTACCTGTCAAGCAGTTCTCTCTCTAAATTTCAATATTCCAAATGTCATTTGTGAAAAAAATTAAATAATACTCAATGGGGTAGGTTAGGTACTCACGGATTTACTGATGGGAAGATATTACATGATGCGGTAGGAATTCAGAATACTTTTCATTTTCAGTCAGTCTCAATTAGTTTTTTAGATATAGCCTGTAAAAATTCGTATGATGTCAATATTTCACCATTTTCTTTATAGCAAAAAAACGATTGCAATTCACATATTTTTTATTTGCTCATATTTTTCCATATCATCGCACCATTTTCTATCCCCTTTCTAAAATACATGAGGTTTTCAATTGAGTAGGTCAGGTTGGATGTTGAGAAAAGATAATTTCTTCAAACTTGGATATTAGAGAAAACGTTCATGTTTGAGGTTCGGAGGTCATGTAAGATGTGGATGAAATACTATTTCAATTAAATATTCGAAAATCTTACCTTAATTGCGTCGCGCGAAGTTCTTCCTTGGCGTGACAATCCAATCAAACCCCAACTAACCTAACTTAACTCAACCTAACCTAACCTAATCTGACCGAACCTAACCCGATCTTACCTAACCTAATCTGACCTAATTTTTTTTTGTAAGGTGGAAACCCTTATGGGCACTGGCCGCTTGGTGTCCATCACGAGCCAGTAGTGCCGGACTTTTACCGGCTAAAACCACCCTTTGCCCTCTCATACCCGGAACTGTCCTTTATGATAAACACAAATATGAGCGGCCAACATCTGGTCACATGTTCCTTATTGTCAAGTCTCGCTACTTAAGTCTCCTTCTGTCTTAGGACTAGAACTCACCTTCTCCTGTCTCTTATTGTTTCATGGCATTTCGAACGAAACTTGCGACCTAACCTAACCTAACTTAACCTAACCCAACCTACCCTAACTCAACCTAACCCAACCCAACTTAACCTTACCTAACTAAACCAAACCTAACCTAACCTAATTCAACCTAACCTAACTCAACCTAACCTAACCTAAGTCAACCTAACCTAACCTAAGTCAACCTAACCTAACTTAAGCTAACCTAACTCAACCTAACCTAACCCGAATCTAACCTAACCTAACCTAATCCAACCTAACTCGACGTAACCTAACCTCAACCAACATAACCTAACCCAAACCAACCTAACACAACTCAACCTAACCTTTTTTTTTGTCAGAGAAGACGAAATCTTCAAAAAGACTACGGTCGTTCCGTAGTGGTGGATTTTTACCACCTAAAACCTCTCCTCACTGAACTCCAAGTACTGGGACCGCTTTCGCATTACTTCGGTACTTGGGCTGCTGGCACATTATTAATGCTTTATATAACCATCTATGTGTCTTCTCTTGACATATTTGACATATGTATATATACATTTTTTTTGTCACCTATCCTCCACTTCTTTGCTTTCGATGATAGATCGTACTGTGTTATAGGCATAATTCCATGGTTTTTCTCCACCCTGAAGACTTTGCATCATGTTCTCTGCGCTGAAAATTCCTCCCGTTTTGCGTAAAAATGCAGTTCTTGCGTCTTGCTATCTTGTACAGATAAAAAGTGTATGCTCTACGTCGTCCTCTGCTTGACAGTACGGACTATTTGGCTATTCAGCTCTCCTGCGAACATAGAGGTATTTGCGGAAACAATCATGTCCCGAAAGTGCCTGGGAAAGGAAATAATCCACTTCACCGAAAGGTCTATTTCATGGCTTCCCTTGCACAGAGTATCACTTCATTAACTGCGTCCGTGGTTTGCCGTTGCTTTCGGAAACCATACTGATTCGCTGATAGTCCCCCGGTTTGTTCCAGTTCTCCGTTGATGCGCTCGAGCAGCAAATGTTCATAGAACTTGCCTTCTACATCCAGTAGGCAGATTAGTCTATAGGAAGAACGATTTTCAATTGGTTTGTCACCTTTCCTTATCAGAGTAAGCCTAGCTTTTTTCCATTCTACGGGGAAATTTGCATGATCTGCTGCATTATTGTAGACTCTAAGCACGTACTCTGGTTTTTCAGCGACTAATATCTTTATTACTTCTGATGATATTCCTCCTGGTCCAGGAGATTTATTACTTTTCAATTTTCTGCCGGCAGCTTTTGCCTCTTCGACTGTGAAGTGTGGAAGTCTACCACTGTTGTCGCAAATGAATGTTACCCCCTCATGAGTCGGAAAGAGGTGATTGGTCACCTTCTCTATTCCCACAGAATCTCCCTTGCAGCTAGTGAGGTTGTTTTAGAGTTTCTCGTGTATTCTCTTCGTTTTTTAAGACATTCTTTTCGAAGGCTAGCAATTTCGTGATTCCACCAGTAGACAGGTTTCTTGCAGATTCCTTTCCTGGTTCTTGGCATAATCTTGTCACATATCTGTACCAGGTTTTTTGAGAAATTCTCTGGGGAGTACACAGTTTCGTTTTCTTCCAGTTCGTTCAGTATCGAATGGAGCTTTTCTCGGTTTAGCTTTTTCGTTTGCCAACCTTGAGTATGTTTAGATTTATAGTGTTGACTTGTCACTGAGAGACTCTTCATCCAGCACATTCCATGATGTTATGAACGGTCGAATTTTTTCTGTGGAGATTGTAAGATCTAATATAGAACCATAACTTCTATGGACAAAGGTAGGTTTGTCTCCTTGGCTTATGATAACCAGGTCCGTAGCCGCTACCCATTCTGTCATTTTGTCTCCTCTTGCATCGGTGAAATTCATGCCCCATTGTGGGGATTTAGCATTGAAGTCTCCTGCAATAATTGCCTCCTCTTTTTTGGTATGGATAAGTCGACCGATCTCGTGAAGGGTATCTTCTAGGTCTTGAATTTCATCGTTGCCGGAAGAGTAGCAACTGAAGACCATAAACTTGTTTGTGGTGATATATGTAAATCTTGTCCATGTCCCTGATCTTTGATAGGTATGTTACCGTTGAGAATTGTGATAGTCGTTTTGAAGTCTTCTCCATAAACCCAGTCCTTCCTACCACGAATAGCATTGANATCCAGTCATTTAAGCTTAAATTAGGTAAGAATCTCGGAATTCGAGATACCCAGCTGTAAGTCTGTAAATACTTGTATATTGACACCCTAAAAGTTGTCTGAAAACCTACATGTGACAGGGTGCGAGTTCCCGTCTGGTGGCCTTCCAGATTGCATAGAAGGCAGTGTGGTTCGTTTTTGCACTCTACTGCCTTATGACCTTCCTGCCCACATTTCATGTAAAGTTGTTCCCTATTCGGCCCAGTGCACTGCTCCTTCAGATGTCCACTCCTCCAACACCTGAAACATCGCTTATCATTTTTCCTCTCATAACATGGATAGTCTTGTTGTTTTTGAGAAGGTAAGTCGTGGCTTCCGGTACTTTTTCTTCCAGTTTCTTTTCAATGCTTCAGCTTTGCTCCATCCATTCTGAACTGTTAGGATGACTTCATTTTTTCTACTCTTCCTGATTTGCCTGATTTCAGCACTCACTTAGTTGGGGTCGACTGTCTCTTTTATTTTCCGAAGCAGATCAGCGTATGATTTTTCTTTCATACGTACCAATATGGCATCCTGTCTGGGTTTTCTTGTCTGCTGGTTCTGTTCATTACTTGTTTGGGTGTTACTCATACATTGTTTTTCCATCGTGTCCGCTTTGTTTTTGCCTATTTGCTGTTCTGGTCTTGAGATAACGGGTTTGATATCAGAGTCTGTGAACGCAAAAAGGCCAACATACGATTTATTACCAGTCCAAGGAGACCATCTGTCTCAGGAATGATGAGCTTGTTTAGGTTATGTCTTGATGAGTGTTCCTTTATATTCGCTAAAGAATGAAAAAGTAGCTTGTCTGACTTATTATTTGCTACAATGTCTTGCTCAAAGATTGGGTAATACACCCATCTTGTCTGGTTGAGATTTCCATCATTATCTGGAAATTCCAGTGACTGACGCATCATAGCTATTTCACCAATCTTCTTATTCTGATGGACCAATCCCTCTCTACCTCCGAACTTCTTTATGATTTCATTTATATTTTTATCCTTGGAC